GTAAACGTTGGACATGATTGAAGCAGGTAGGACAAAGTACTTGAGCACACCCATACTTGGATTCCCTAAACCAGAGGTCCTCAGTCTTGACTGAGTTACAATAACTTGGGGAGATTTTAAAACTCTAAATGCCCCAGACCCTACCTCAGATGACTCAAAACAGGATCTCTGGAGGTGGAACTCAGGCAACAGTGTTTCTCAAAGCTCCCTGCGTGGTTCCAATGTGCAGCCAAGTTTGAAAACCACTGACTAAAACAAAAACTTACTGCAGTAAGTCTCTAGTCACTGTGGCAACTCCACAAATAACTGCGATCTCTTGTTAATTAGTTGCCAACTAAGAGGCACATTCTCCGTGTTTAACAGATTGAAGGTTAGCCCAGTGTATGCATCTTTATTGAAAGCTTACTATGTGTTTGATATGATAATATTTACCATATAAGAACTCTATTTCATTAATTTGGGTTTTTTTCCTACCTCATATTTAACTGCATAAATGATGTGAACCTTAGGTGTTCCAAGCAATGGTTAGTAAACATCATGACTGCTCCCTTTACATACATCCCCTCTCCCTGATTTTCTATCATTTAGCCACAACCCCCCGTGCTGAGCTAACCGCTGGTTCTAGGAGGCTCTCCTGTGGCCCAGGGTAGCCCCATCCCCTGGCCACAATCAGGGATGAGCACAAAACTCAGTTTGTGCCAATAATATGCAAGGGCAGGTTTCCAGAGATCTCTTGGAAAGACACTTTTTAATTCAACCAAAACAGCTTTAGGAAGTGATTTTTTTTTTTCTTTTCTTTTCTTCCAGACCTGAACAAGGAAGCAGGTCATTGACTAAGAGTCATTAACAAGCATTTGGAGATTCTGAAGAGGCACCAACCCTAACACGAGACTGATACCATGAAAAGTAGAGTGAACAAGTGTGGAAAAATGTCCTTTGATGAATCAAACAAGCTCTAAAGTCCACTCAGTGTTGGACTTGCCCTGTAATATTTTAAGGCAGTTTGAGTGCGGCTTTCCATTACTTGCAACCAAAAGCATCCAAATTATTGGATCATTAAGAGACAGCCTACAACAATGGAAATATAAAACTAAAAATATCCCAAAGATTATTTAACCAAAACTTTCATTTTAAAAATGAGAAGAGGGGCTTCCCTAGTGGCGCAGTGGTTGAGAGTCCGCCTGCCGATGCAGGGGACATGGATTCGTGCCCCAGTCTGGGAAGATCCCACATGCCACGAAGTGGCTGGGCCCGTGAGCCGTGGCCGCTGAGCCTGTGCGTCCGGAGCCTGTGCTCTGCAACCGGAGAGGCCACAACAGTGAGAGGCCCACGTACCACGGGAAAAAAAAAAAAAAAAAGGGAAGATTAAGACCCAAACAGCTGAAATGACTCACGCAAGGTAGCACAATCTACCTGGCCTTAATGTTACATAGAGTTGGACCTGGATCTCAGGTGTCCTCATTTCCAGCCCATTGTTCGTTCTACTGAAGAATAAAGTCTTCATTGAAAACATTCACTTTAATTTTCAAATGTTGCTATGATGACCCTAATTTTTAAAATGTCATTAAATCTCCTTGGAACTCTCTAGAAATACATATTCCCAGCCCTCTCTCAAAAGACATACTCAAAGCCTATACAGACCATTTGCTTTCCAAATGCAGACGTCATGAAAGAATATGCAAAACTGTTGAAAATATATATCACACAAGCCACCCCAACCAAAAAAAAATTTTTAAGTTCTATCCAGCTAGGCTGCTTCAGTAAATGATGTTGCTGAATATATAAAATACTTGAATCTAAATTTAAAAATGCTCCCCCCACCCCTTGATTAACCAGATTGTCCCCTCCCCTATATATAGGAACGCTATGTGCCTGAGCCCACTTACCATCTGTCACCACATTTTCCAAACTTCTCTTCCACCCCCTCCTCTTACACAATCTTATCACATAAAAATATTAGATTTCAGGGATTTGTATAATTTCATTAAATTTTCTGAGCCAAGGAAAAATAGAGGAAGTACTGGTATCTCAAACTGACTCAGATTTTGAGTGTCCAACACATATCCGTGGTAGCCACTAATGCCCTTCAGGCACAACTCATGTGCCCAGGAATAAAAAGAATAAGTCTTTTCCCTTATTATGGCATTTCATATTAGGAGTTTTCAGGTGTTCCCCATATTGCCGAGGGGGATTTGGATAGCGTCCAGAGAGTCCTGAGTCATATACCATCATATTGCTTTGTTTATTACCTTTCATAAAGATTTGCGAGTTTTCTCAGATCATTAGAAAAATACTTAGAAGCCAATTGGGGATTATGCATGTTGCTGCTTCCCCTTCGCAGTTTGGGAAATGATTTTTAATCATCTGAATACAGGGCACCTCTATGCACCCAAGTGCTTAAGGTAGAAGCTTAAGAGTCTTCTTTTGTTGCTCGCTTTCCTGCTTCTCACATACAATCTTATCCAAAATCTCAGCCAATGCTCTTGTTTCCAGACCCCACAGGAGGTCTCTGAGGAATGACCAGTGAGATTGGCTTTAAAATAATAAGTCCGCTACACAATGAAGAATTGTTAGGGACGGCCCTCTGAACTAGGTTCTTTCCTGCTTCTCTGCACAGGTAGGAGGAATGAGGCTTATAATGAGCATCCTATTATTCCTACCAAACATCCCTCTTTCTCCCATCCCTAACCCAGGTGGTCCCAAAGGGTACATCAATCACAGTGCCTCAACTATTCCGTGATCACAGAGGTAGTCACATGACTCAGGCCTGACCAATCAGGAATTCCCATGTCCTGCCAGCAGAAATTGGTCCAAGTGTGGTATATTATCCAAGAAGAACACTGGGAGAAAGGGATCTGCTCCCTTTATAGCATAGACTTGGGGCTACTGGTGACTGTTTTTATCTGCCATTAGAAAAATTCTGTCTGTGGCAGCAGAAAGCACAGTCACACCCAGAGACAAATAATAAAACTGAAAGACAGAAAAGGAAAAAGAGGGGATACGAGAGTGTAAATCAAGGGTCAGCAAACTATGGTCTGCCTCCTGTTTTTGTAAACTAAATTTACTGGAACACAAATACACCCATTTGTTAATGTACTGTCTATAAATGCTTATATGCTACCATGGTAGCATTTAGTTGGAATAAATACCAAACCTAACTGAGAATGTCTGTATGAGGACATATGAAGTATCTTGCCCTTTTCAAAGATCTTGTGATTTATTGAAGGGCCAGAAATGTAAATACATATTTATAGCACATAAGATAATGGGAAAAAACAAAATATGGAATAAAAAGAACACACAGCATCTAACAAAGAAACAATGGTAACAAAGATGATAATTAGACTACTGATGAAGGCATCTACCATTTACTGATTGCATATTATGTTGATGCTTTACATATTAGATATTAGATACTTTCACTCATCCTCCAAACAATCTTGCAAAGTAAATGTGTCAGTTAGGATAGGACAAGACTTGCTGCAATAACAAATGACCCCAATATCTCTTGCTACATATCCATGGTGGATCAGTAGAAGGCTCTGCTTACTGTTAACAGCCAAGACCTCAGGATAATGGAGGTTCCTTCTCAACACATGCGTCCATATTTGCTTCACTGAGGGAAGGGACCATAGCAAATCACACGCTGCCTCTAAAAAGCTTCTATGCACAACTGAAACACAGAACTTCCACTCAGATTGCATTAGCAAAAACAGGTCATATAACCATGCCTAAATTGAAAAGTACTATCATGTGCTCAGAAGAAGAGCTGGAAATATTTAGAGAATACCAGGAACGTTTACCCAAATAAATACTGGGTAAAAACCCTTCCAATGAAGACATGTAAGAGAAGTTAGGAGACTTCGTCAAAGACAGAGTTAATAAGTAGTAGTGTTTGAATTGAACCCGAGTCAGTATGATGCTAAATTCCAAGCTCTTTTATGTTATACCAGTCAATGTCCTTTCTCATCACCTTTGTGTTGGAAAATAGTAGAGTTTACTGATGAAAGGAATAGTAGGTTTACATGATTGAGGACCAAGAAAGAGATGTAAAATGTTTCAACTTGATGAGCTTGCAAAAAGCAAATCCTTTAAACTTTTTTATAAAGACATTTACATTATGTAAGCAGTATTTAAGAAAGATATAGATGGCAGTTCAACCAGAGAATTTGACCTGGGGTGGGATGATTACCGGGAGGAGAGGGCAGTATGGAAACAAGAATGAGATAATACAATAAAAAAGAAGGGAGTGAAAGAGAAAGAGAGAAGGAGAGGTTGAGGGAAAGAGAATTAATAGTTGCAAGGGAGATTTTAGGCTGAGACCATCCCTGTTCTTGGGTACTTTAAGTATAATTCTTTCCTAAAAGGTTCAGGTTCAAATATATATGAGACAGAGTTACTATTTCTTTTAGACGTTTGTCAAGTGTGAAAGAGGAGGAAAAATCTGTTTGTGAAGGGAGTTTACAGTATACTTAAAGTTTATTTTAAAAATAAATAGGACTTGATAGATAGGGCAATAAACAACAGGCCCCACCAGGAACCTGCCAGGAGCACTAACAGGAAGCATCTGTAGGCTGCCAAGAGCCAGAAATAAGAATGAACAGTTCTCATCATCAGAGAGTCACAGGAACATTCACAAACAAAAAGGATATTTGGGGTGCAGCATCTCTAAGCCAAGTTACTCTCTGTCATGAACGCACTCAGTTTATATAGAATACACCCACAGAGGTAAAGCCACATCTGAATCAGCTGTTGCTTGTTCCCTTTGCTGTGAGTTCCAGGTTTCGTTTTAGCCTAAAATTGTGACACAGTATACAAAAATATGTAGAGACCTTTAGAGAAATTTAACACCACAGGAACATAAAACTTTGCGTGACCTCAATAATTAAGAAGTATGTATGACCAGAAAAGAGTCTATGTGCTCCCCCAAAGGTTTATTATTGATATTTTAATATTTATTAAATTCACAAAGGTCTGATTAATTATGGGTATGTGCTTACCATGTGCTGAGCATGATCACAGAGCTGAGGATACAGACGTGAAGAGAAACAACCTTTACTTTCCTGGAATCTCCTATTTTAGCAAAGGAGGAAAATGAGAAAAATAAATAAGGTGATTAAAGATTGGACTAAGTGATACAAAGCTATGAAAATAATTAATAGAAAACCAAGGGACAAGGAGTGGCACCCACCTGAGGCAGTGTCCAGGTGGCCCTTTGGAGTGGGGAGCTTTGAGCTAGGACTTGAAAGGTAATGAGCAAACCATGTGATGACAAAGCATAGTGTACGTTTGGTCCTGTTTCAATGAACGAAGACTTTTTTCTGGAGACAAAAATATAATAGAGCTGGGTTATAAAGCTCGTTGGATGAGGAATCAAGATAACTGAGTCTCTTTTCTGCCACTTAATAGCTGTATGCCCGTAAGCTAGTCACATAAACTTTATGAGTCTGGATTTCTTCATCTGTGAAATGTGTGGGTTGAGCCCAAGGATCTCTAAGGTGTCTTCTGGCACGAAAAGTTTGTACTAATCCTCTCCTATCCCTACTGCATGTGTGTGCATAGAGCACATGCGTGCACATGAGCGCACACATGCACACACACACACAGAGGACACAGGTAAGTCTCCTATTTTCTAACTGCTGCCTGGAATAAACTCTGGGCATATGAAATGCTCATGCAATACAATTTCAACATAAGTGAAAACCACCATATCTATCCTTAGCATCTTCCCAAAACTCAACCTTTCTATAAAGGTCCCTGGGGACAAATGCGACTACCTTATCTTAGACGATACACCCACACCCCTCTCTCAAATTACTGGTCTCTGGCCATAGCCTCTGATACTCCAAGTGTGTGTGACTTTTCTTCCATACTCTCCCCCCAACACAGCCCAATTCAATTTCATCTGATTGGACCAGAAGTGAACGCCCAGTTCAAGGAAGAATCAACCATAGGCTGACCACTGACCAGGGAAATAAAGGGAAAAGGTGAGTTCAGGCCAACCAATCCACTTCCAAGGAAGTTGGATTTGGGACTGTGAAACATTGGATGGATTGGTAGCAGGGCAAAAAATTAAGGACACATGAAAGACTGCCAAAGCATAATGATAACAAAGCATTCGAACGAAGTCTGTGGCCTCTGTGACTGTTGAGGCTCCCAGAGCTGTTTAGATCCAGATTCACTCCCCAGTTTCATTTCCCACGAGAAAGTACTGGCTTTAAATAATTTAAATAATACTGTAAAGTATTTACAGTATTTCCCGTCCCCTATTTCTATGAACTTTCTGTGTCCTATGAACAATCCCCATTTCTACCAAACTAGCTTAGCTGGATTTCTTTCCGCCAAATTGCATTCACTAAAACAAAGGGTGGCTCATTCAATCAATAAGCTAAGCTCCATGGAAATGTTAATGGTGACCTGATTTAGAAACAGGAGTCATAAATGAAAATAGGGAAAGGCTCTGCTTTCATGAAATAGAGGTCAGATGACCATGAGGGGCTGGCAGAGGGAGAGGTGAATGGCACCTGAAGCAGAAAATGGATTCCAGTTTGGGGGATGCTCCAAAATTGGTCTGGAAGGACCTCAAAGAGATGAGTAGGATGGGAAAATCTGACCTACAATTTTGCTAACGAGCAGTGCTTAACTCTGTAGGAAATAGCCCTCAAAGCTCTCAGATACGTTGGTCTTTCTCTCCACTCACCTTCCTCCCAGCACAATGCATCATGTATAGTAAAAAGAAAAAATTAATACTTATTAGTGGAGGCATAAAATTCTTCTTTCAGGAAACACACAGGAAGATATTTTCTCCTAGTCTCTCTTCAAAGAACTTTGTATTTTCCCACCCCTGCATAACTCTTTAGAAGTTTTTCTTACGTCTGTGGCTTATGCGCCTCAAATTAGGGATCACGGGGAGACAAATCAAGCCCATCGTTTTTAAGAAGATGGTATGGAGTGATCGTCCAATAGTCACTTCCAACTGCCATCTGTGACAAGTCTGTAAAACATTTCGTTTGCATAATATATGGGAACTCTATTAAAATACAGCACATTGTTAAAGGAAGTGGGAATATTCTAAGTCAAACTATGTCTCCTCATAAAACCATCCCCCTAGCACTGGCAACAAAGCAGAGTTCTCCTGTATTGCTTTAAAGAAGAAAACCTACTGCTCAAGGAATTACTGAATAGATGCTAAACCTAGTTTAATCCAACGCTGCCGACATGTTGTGAAGTTACAACGAGAAGAAGGCTGAGCAAAGGTCATTTAGCGGAAAGATGCCTGTCTGGATTGAACATCTCCTTGCTCTAGAGCAAGCAAGGACAGAACAGCAATCAGTTTATAAAAGCAGGCACTGGGTGCCATTCATAATGTAGACCTATATATCTGACCTAAAAAGGCCAAAGCTCGTGTTTCCAGAATAGAAAAATGTATATCAAATGCCTTAGCTGGAAGAAAAGATCTTTATGTATAGTCAGAAGTGGGCCAGCAAACTAATATCTTGACAGCATGCTGGAGATTCGCCGGCTTCTTGGGTTTTTTTTTTTTTTCCCTGCCTCTGTCCGATGACATCCTTGCTCTAAAAAAGGACATTTTGTTTGTCCAGGTGCAGAATTTTTAAAAACATGCTATTATTCTCACAGCTTCAAGCCTGCTTTTCGCTACAGATGTAGTTTTTCAAAAGCATCGGGTTCGCAAAGACCATGGTTGTTAATTAATGACCATTTACATCAGCCCAGCAGCCTAGCCATATTTCAATGATCAGTTGGGGAAAATCTGAAGGAGAAACAGGACAGGAGAGCATGGAAGAGAGTTTCTTACCTTCAGTGTGTTAATCAGAGAAGTCTAATAAAGTTATTTGTATTATCAGTGACTTCAACCTCACTGTCAAAGTATTTCTATTGAAATGCAAGCCCAGGAAATAACCTTAGGAGGCATTTGTAATAGTTTGGTTCCAACTCTGTACAGGGTGCCCAACCAGAGGCTAGAAAAACTTATAAATGGTTTTCCTTCCCAAAGAGCCTGAATGACAGCCAGGCCCAGGTCATACTTCTCTCAAGACAGATGGTGAAAGCGCAGTTTACTGTTCAGTTTTAATTCACTGCTGTCTTTTGTAAGACAGCCTCTAAAGAGAGAGGCTAAAGTCAGTCTGCCTAATTTTAGCAACACCAGGATGAAACCTTGTGTTTTCATACTATGGGTCACTTCCCTGTAGTGTTTTATGAAACTTGCCTTAAATTTGTCACCCTAAATTCATACCTGGTCAAATTTAGATACTCTCCTAAAACACAAGTACAAGAGAAGGTTGTAATTTTCTGGGCCATTTCCGCCACAATTGTCCACCTCTTGATCTGGGCAGGTGTTTCACATTTGCAGATCTCTGGCTCATCTTGTTTTCACGGCTCCATCTCTTTTATCCCATGATGTCACTGAAGAGAAGTAAAGAACCAACAAATTCTTAAATCTGCCACATCTGGATTTGTGTTTTCCTTGAATAAGATTAGTGAGTGCTGACTTGGACCAGCCACTGAGTTACACGCTTATATTCTTCAGCTGTGTCCATCTCACGACATGGAAAGATGAATGCCATTTTATAGATAAGAAAATGGAGCCTCAGGTTAGGTGCCTTTTCCCAAAGTTATATGGCTCATACCTGGCTGAGCAGAAATGCACACTTGGGTGTAAGCTTATAGCCCACATGCTAACCCACCGCACTAATCAGCTCCTTCTTTAATTCCACTACCCAGGGGCGTGCTTGAGCACTGAGTCTAGAAACAAGGCCTGATCAACAGCCGCCTTACCTTTGACAGTCCAATCCAGGCTTCTGTTTTGGCGAATTCCCACCTGGCCAGTAAATGCCTGTATTATTTTGTGCCTGGACTGGAAGAAAGGAAATTGATTTTCTTTGGGGCGAATACAAAGACACTTCAAGCAGGTCTTGTCCCATGAAAAAGCTGGCTGTGGTGCACCCATGCACTCACTTATATTTAATCCCCTCATATAGTGCAAGTTCCATAAGTTCAGAGACCTAGTCTTATATCCCAAGTTTGGAGCCCAGAATGTGGCACTTAGATATCCAGAAATTTGGTCAATGAATGAATGAATGAATGAATGAGTAAGTGAATGAGCAGAGACTTCAAGATCCAGGCACAAGAGACCCCAGTGTAGGAGCCTTTCACTCCGTGTCCTGCTTTCACCAACTGCACTGCTGATATCAACCCATTCCCGGGTTCCTCGTCCCTGCATTATTAACTCAATAAGATCCCCAGCTCCAGCGCTTCCCCTGGGTCTCTCTCCCTGAGAAAGCCCAGTCCACCTACAAGCTTACCATTAGTTTTAGAATGAACTTAAAGTTTCTCAGGGGGGTACTTTCATACTACCCTCTGCATACCCTAGCCTCCAGGGAGTGGAAAAAAAAGAGAGATTGTTTTTATGGTAATCAGACTTCTTAACAATGAAATGGTCTTGCTAATGGTCTATCATTTTCATTCATTCAGAATAGGTTTATTGAGCTCCTACTGTGTGCCAGGTAGTTGTAAGAGCTGAGGGTATTGTGAGGATGAAAAACAAAAAGGACGACCATTATGGAACTTAAATTCCAGAGAAGGGAGCCAGTCAGTAAACTAAGAGTAAAACATAGGATGTTTTAGGAGGTGATAAACAGAAAAAAGAAAAACAAAGAATAGAAGTGGGATAGGAACTGCAGACAGCGGAATGCAACGTTAAATAGGGTGGGCGTTAAGCATTTAATTGCATTCCTCCTCCGAAGAGCTACATTCAAGTCCTAACCACCAGTACCTCAGAATGTGACCTTATTTATAAACAGAATATATGCAGACGTAATTAGTTGAAAAGAAGTCATAGTGGAGTTGGGTGGGCTCTTAGTCCAATATGACTATTGTCCTTTGATTAGAAAATAGTGTAAAGACACACAGGGAGAGCACCATGTGACTACAGAGGCAGAGACTGGAGTGATGCAATCATAGGCCAAGGAACACGAGGACTTCGGACTATCACCAGAAGCTAGGAAAAGGCAAAGAGGGATTCTACCCAGAGTCTCAGAAGGCACCTTAACTTGGCCTTACAGCCTCCAGAACCCTGGGAGAGAAAATAAATATCTGTTGTTTTAAGTCATCTAGTTCAGTACTTTGTAACGGGAGGTCTAGGAGACTAATATAGTGGGCAGGGAGGCCTCAACTGTGAGGATGGCATCTGATAAAAGACCTGACGTTGGTGCGGGAGCCACCCACATGGCTATCTGGGGGGAGAGGGAACAGCAAGTACAAAGCCTCTGAAGTAGTGGACCTAGCATGTTTGTGTGGCTGCAAGGAGGCCAGGGTGGTTGGGGTCAGCTTAGGAGAGGGAGAGTATTCAAGTCCAAATGTAATAAGATCTAAAGACCACGGAGTCTAGGGCTCAAACGTTAGCTGAGCGTCATAATTCCCTGGCTGACTTGTTAAAACACAGATTGCTGGGCCCACCCCTGGATCCCTAGAGTTGCAGTAGATCTGGGGTAGGGTCTGAGAATGCGCATGTCTAACAAGTTCCTGATGCTGATATTGTTGGTCCAGGGGCCACTTTTTGAGAACCCTTATTGTAGGACATCATAACAACTTAGATCCTTGTTCTGTGTGAGCTAAAAGCTATTCGAGGGTTAGAACAGAGGAGTGACACGGGAGGACTTCTGTTTTAGCAGGATGTTGTGCCTGTTGGGTAGGGAATAGACTCTAAGCGGGGGGACCGGTGGAAGCAGAGAGGCCAGTTGTAAGATAATTGGAATAAAAAGTACATAATGTGAAGCACCTGTTTAAAAGGAGTTATGAACCAGTATGTGTTATGTGTGACCCAGGGTGTTTTTTGGATGGGGGAGGAGCATTTGCATTAGTTCGGAGAAAACTAATATATAACTAAGAGATTTGAGTTACCCTGGCCTTGAAAGCCTGGCATTCTTGGAGAACAGCACTTATTTAATAGGAGTTATATGACATCTGCATGTCACCAGCTTCCTCTCCACTCATGTCCATGCACAGCCAGTTTAGCAACCAAACACGTGTCACATCTGGAAATTCTTAGGCTGGAGGTTTGTTTTTTTTTTTTTTGCTTTTTAAAGAGTAAAGGGTCCCTTTCCTCCATCCTAATACCAACTCAGAATTCTTTGAATTTTTTTTTTTTTTGCGGTACGCGGGCCTCGCACTGTTGTGGCCTCTCCCGTTGCGGAGCACAGGCTCCAGACACGCAGGCTCAGCGGCCATGGCTCACGGGCCCAGCCGCTCCGCGGCATGTGGGATCCTCCCGGACCGGGGCATGAACCCGTGTCCCCTGCATCGGCAGGCGGACCCTCAACCACTGCGCCACCAGGGAAGCCCCAGAATTCTTTGAATTTTAAGAATTTTTGTTTGAGTAGTTAATGAGGACTTCGGTGTTCACGTCTGTTAAAGCTCTCAGATCACTCCCAGAGTGACCTTTACGAAGGTTCTAAAATAGATTAGAATACCTATTATCTTTTTATATAAAGCTGAAATCTTACAGTGGAAGAAATTTCCAATGTGAAGAATGAAACAAAATACTAGGGTTAATGATGACCAAAAAAAGTAATATTTAGAAGAGAATCGTACATCCAACCTCTTTAAAGCATTTGATTTCTATTAACACTTTCTCTTTCCACTTTCTGTGTACTCTCACCTTCCTGTGGATCTATCATCTTACTGACACACTCACATCAGCTACACAGACGGCTTCAAAACACAATGGCTTTATTTCTTGGCTGTTTGAAAGTTCTGAATTTTGTAATTTGTATTTTATAAATAACTTGACTCTAAAAAAAAAAGGTAAATTTTGAAATACCCAAAATCCTGGAGAAAGACATAGCCTATGACCTTTCTACACCAAGGGAAAAAGTGAAGCATCTTCAAAGTGTTATTTAGACCACTTTAGTGCTGATACACTATATCAATTAGCTGTGTGACCCTAATGCAGAAATTAACTTCTCTGTTCCTAGTTTCCATATCAGTAAATTAAGGGAGTTTGAATGAAATTTCAAAGGCCCCAGCAAGCTCTAGAATTAGCTGATTTAAATTGTACCATTGTATCCTAGATTTATTTTGGCTTTAAAAAAGGGAAGTTACTTTATTTTGTGTCCTTTCTGATTTTGAAACTGAGATCTAAATTCAAACCTTCTGGGGGCTAGACTGGTAGTATAAGTGAGTGAATCAGATGAGAAGCAAGAAAATAGAGTCAAGGAGCAAGAACTGGCCACCTATGAGGAGACCATGGTGACCTATGAGAGGACCACAGGGATCTCTGACTGAAGGACACTGATACTCTGCTCTAGCTTATGTGTGCATTGTAGAAACGGAGACCTGGGCTTATTAAAAGCTTCCAGTATTTCAGGAGCTCAAAATATTCATTTTTGTTGGCACCACCTTGATCTTTAAATTGACAAGTAATTCAAATTAAAAACATCATCATCACCATGCAGACCAAACCAACATGTCTTACAGCTCAATCCAATCTAAAACCTACTAGTTTGCATGATGAAAGCCATATTGGATAAGATTTATCCCTTCAGGGGTTATTGTTGCATGCTAAGTTTCCATAAGGGAAGGACCAGGTAGCCTGAGGCCTTACCTTAATTAATTTTCTCTCTAAAAAAATAACTACTAATCTCACGCATGCCCCTACAAGGAAAAGGTTAAATAAAGCATTTATAATAACCAGAGATAGACTGACAGTCAGAAAGACAGACACAGGATACTGTAAAAATGCCTACAGGGCAACACAAACTGGTTTTGCAGAGGTGGCTTAACCAACTGAGATTTGAGCTGTACAGGCTTAAGTCAAGATATTCTGTTTCTTGGTCAGTTCCATTGGCCAACGGGTGAAAAGCAGAAGTCATGGTTGGGCTGACTGGTCAATCAACATGGCCACAGGATGAAAATTTATTTTCTTTTTCTTCCCTCCAATGTATATCTCCCCATAGACTCCATTCATTTCCAGCTTTGTAGTGAAATTACTCATTGGTCCTAAATCCCAAGCACTGCCCCCAAACTCACACCTAGAAAATAAAAAAGTGAGGATGTAATTACCACTATAAATAGGATTGTTTCTTTTATGGAAAGATTAATAGAATAAAGAAGTTAGCATCTTTAGTATATCTAAGTATTTATCTACTGATAATTCATTTAATACATGGAGGGCTATAAAAATTTTAAGAAAAGGTACATAGATTTATGGATTTTCTATATAAATAAAATTAGCTTTCTTTCAGTTTGCCTCCTTGCTATTACATCTCACAAAAAATTATCTGCAAGAATTTTCACTAATTTTGGAGAATACAGTTGTGATGGTCCAAGTGAAAATATAGGCTATGTTCTGCGTCTAAAGTTGGATTCCTCCACAAAAGAGCCTGAGACAAAGCCTTGGGAATTTATTTGAGAGATGATCCCAGAAGCAGGAAGCATGAAAGGAGAAAAAGCCAATTAAGCTATATTATTGAACTGGTGATGGTTGTAAGCAGCTAGGTTCATTCCTACTGGGGGACCATCTGAGAACAAGGTAGAATGTGTCTCAGAATGCTCCCACCAAAAACCAGTGTCTGAGACATTTATACATGGACTCTTAGCCTCCCATAGTTGAGATTTACTGTGGGTATTACCTTGTATATAATAACCGTTCATGGCTGTAGGAAAAGTCTTTAGGCAGAAGAACAGAGAGATTCTGGGGGCATTTGAGGTAGGATGCCATCAGCATCATAGGATCAAATTTGCAGCTGTAATTACAGGTAGACTACAAATATATATAGATGCTAAATTATGTAAACAAAATTGGGACCCACCAAAAACATAGGATACCATCCTTCACAGCAGCTAGAAATGAACTGG